TATATATATAGTATATATATATAATTTTATATATATATACTATATATATATAAAATTATATATATATACTATATATATATAAAATTATATATATATATGTGTGTGTGTATATATATATATATATAAAATTTTTGTCAAAACATTTTAAGAATGGACTATGGCATAGAAGCCTGGAACAAAAATATAAAGAGAAATATCTGACATTTGGAAAGAAATAAAAAATTATATAGAAGAAAAAACATTCACTACTCTAGATAAACACTTTATATTGTTTATGAAAGGCTTCTTGCTCCAAACTTTTATTATGGCCCTAATAAAGCAGATTATTGGAAAAAAATTGGGAGTAAGGAGAAAGGTTATATAAAAATTTTATTTTAGGAAAAATGTAGCGGAAACGGAATTTTCAAAACATTTACAATGTGAAATCATGTTGCATTCAATAATGTACTTTATTAGCAACTTCACCAAATATTCCCCAAGTCATAAGCAACAATTATTTTTATTAGGTTTGGGGGGTGGAGTAGTTTTAATGAAGTGTACAGAATAGTGACACCCACAAAACCTTATAGGCAGGATTCATGCATCCTGCTGCAAGCACCTCTGCGCTAATACACCAGATCTTAAAATGCATATAAGATGGACTAGCATCTTAACTCTGCTAGTTGATCGTATCTTTATTGAAAAGAATCCAGCTACAAATTGCCTTTTTTTAACACCATAAATTCTAGTTAGAAACTTGAAATTTTATAGAAATTATTTAATGATAGGAATTATATATGTAAATTAATGTGACTATAGTATCTGTGCTTCCTGTGTCTGTAACTATTTTAAGTTATAATTAACTGTCCTGTGCTGTCAGATTAACATTTGGAAATTTCTAGAACAGTTAATGTTATTTACAGAAAGGAATGGAAACTCATCAATTGACACTCTCTTTGATTTTTTTTTTTAAATTAACTCTCTTTGAACCCAGTTAAAGTATAGTTTATGAGTAATTTTATTAGGAACCTCTTAATTATAGTGCTCCAATGGAATAAGCTATTTGCCAATTTTCACAGTTCTGAACTTGGAAAGAAGCAAAGTATATGTAACTAAACAACATATTTGTCTTTTTATTGCTTTTTTTCCCCTCTTTTATATGCTAAATCAAATACAAATTTGTGGATAGGGAAGCAATATGTGAATCACAGTGCAGCAGTGGTAGACAAAGCATTACATTATTACTTAGTGCTGTACTTTCAGAGCTGCACTGCACCAATTACTTGTCCTCGTGCCAAAGGCAAATATGTTTGCACCTTTTTTTTTTTTTCTGATTCTCAGGTTATTTAATACTGCTAATGCAAATTCTCACATAGATGTTTAAAAACTTTACAAAATAGATTCAAATGATACTTTCTTTTAAAAGTGAAGACTTGATGATTACACATAGTAAATTCATGAACTACAGTAGGTTCATATCAAACAGATTAATTTTTTTTAATGAAAATCTGTTGAGGTGTACACAACACGCTTCTCGATTATTTTAGTCCTTGGTCTCTGCTAGACCTCATGAGTTTCATAATTTAGAAAAGGGGTAGGGGATGAACTAATGTGGACTCCTTCAGATGTAATCATGAAATACCTAGAGTTTTACTTGCTTTTCAATACACGGAATAATTTTGAATGATTCAGAACCTGATGTAGACCCTTTGGCTTATAATGTTGGATAAATTCTGAGGATACAACTCTGATAGCTTAAAATATTTACATTCTAATGTTATAACACAGCACCATGACTCTCTTCTTTCACGATTATAACTCAGAGGAAAGATACAGGATTCTATTGGGTGTTCAATGGAGTAGAAATGGAGAGATTCCTTTGTGTTGAAGTAGAGGCATTTTCCTAAGGAGTATATATTTATACTTTCCATTTTCATTCATCATCCCCCAGATTCATGGTCAAGGTGTAGGTCACTCCACGCAGCTGATGCTCAGGTCATTCCCTCATGAGAATTATGAGAATAAAGCTCCCAAGGTATGTGAAAGTGCTTAACATAGTACCTGGCACACAGGACTCAGTAAACGTTTGGCTCTGTTATGGGATGGTCCAATTCTGGTTTAAGGAAGGAAGAAAGGTTATATATATATATATATATATATATATATATACACACATATATACCACTTAGCAAATATATAGATATATATAGGTTTTTTTTTCCTAATATTATTTCGGTGTCCCCTGTGCTTCTTTAGGATGTGGCTGTAACTCTCAGTGAGAACACATGGACACAGTGGGGGAACATCACACACCAGGACCTGTCAGGGGGTGGGGGGCAAGGGGACGGATAGCATTAGGAGAAATACCTAATGTAGATGTTGGGTTGATAGCTGCAGCAAACCTCCATGGTACATGTATACCTATGTAGCAAACCTGGACGTTCTGCACATGTATCCAAGAACTTAAAGTATAATTTTAAAAAGATGATAAAAAACAAACAAGTCTGCTGAATTTGATAAGGATTAAATCTGCAGTTCAGTTTAAGGGGTATGGCTATTTTAACAATATAGTCTTTATGGAAAGTCACTCTATTTATTGAAGACTTCTTTAATTTTTTAACAATGTTTGTTGTTTTCAGAGTATACAGTTTGCATTTTTTGCATTTCTTTTGTTACATTTATTCCTAAGGATTTTGTTCTTTTTCATGATATTGCAAATTAAATCATTCTTTTCATTTCATTTTTGTTTTGCTCATTGCTGCTGTAGAGAAATACAATTGACTTTGTATATTGATCTAGCTTCCTGTCACCGTGTTTAAATTGTTTTTTTTTTTTTTTTTTTTTTTTTTTTT